GTGATACTTCTGAGGCAATTAACCTCATGATGTCACCTCTATTCTTATCTGTTTTTTCCCTTCTTATCTAGTGCTGTTCAGAATATTACAATATGCAGAATATTGTGAGGGCGAACCATGTGGAGTCAGCCGGGTTCAACTGTTTTTAACTTACAAAACCGGCCATTTCAGATGGTTCTGCCTGATGCACAGGGGGAGGGCCATCTGCCCCCCAGTTTTGCAGACCTGAGGACAGGCACCACATGCTTCAGCTGCATCCCCCCTCGCTCGGGCACCTTGTACAGAGCTGGGCACAGGGAGACTGGAGACTGGCACGGGCTTAGGGCCGGGCCCCTCCCCCCTGCTGGACGACCTTGCAGATCAACTGCTCTTGCCCAGTGGGTTCTTGGAAGGCCTGGCTCCTGACCTCTGACCCTAAAGGCTCCTCCTGACCACACACTGGGGGCGCTCACCAATGATGAGGACTGTAAGGGGTTCCGGGCTGCTGGCGCCAAGGTGGTCGTTCCAGTTGCTCATGTCTGCAGCTGGCCAGGGCCGGGAGGTCGGGGCTGGCAGTTGACCTGGGGCGGTGCGAGAGAAGGGCCACTCGGTAAGGCTTGGGTGTCATGAAGTCCCTGCTCAGCTACAGGGTGGTGTCCTAGGGCCCTCAGGTTCAAGTCCAAGGTCTTTCCTGAGGCATATCCGGGTGCCACTCCTCTCTCCCTTCTCCTTCCTCACACCTGCTGCATTCCAAACGGGCCCAGCTCCCCACCTGTTACGCGGGGTCCCCTGCCCCAGCCTGGTCATCTCCGTCTTTCTGAGCCTCACTCCACTCTCTGCATCTCACCACGGGGCAACAGCAACCCCTGAAGCTCATTACCCATCTTCCATGAGGCTCACCTGCCCAGCCTCGGGGGTAAGCCCTGCCCAGGACGCCTGTGACAGCTTCAGCCCCCACCCCACAATCCAGCCCCCAGGTCTTTGGTGTATCCTGTGGGCTCTGGAGCCATCGCCTGGCCCTGGCAGGGTGCTTCCTAGCTGGTGACCGCGGGCCTGTCCCTGGGCCTCTCTAGTCTTGGTGTCTTCATCTGCAAACCAGGGTAATAACAGGTCCTACCCTGAAGGTTGTGGGTGAAGCATCTGTCTGGAGCAAATGTATCAGTGGGGACAACAGGGCTCACTGCCTGCTGCAGGGCTGGTCTGGGACAGTGGGCTTGGTCAAAGTTTGGAAGCCTGAGTAACTTGGTTTGGGGAAAATGCCTGTAAACCTGCTTGTCTCTGGAGCATGAGCGCCCCCTGCTGGCCACAGGCCCAAATAGCTCATAGGGACCCAAACCCACTTCTCAGGGTTGCTGATGTCAAGAGTCCAGACCCACCATCGCCGCCCCGGCCAAACCCAGCTACCAGAGGCCAGGCCTAACACTGAGGGCCACCAGGCAACATGCAGGCGAGTGTGTGAGGAAAGGGTGGGCATATGCCACTTACTATGTACTGGGTATAGGACGTATTTTTCTCATGCCCTCCTCACACTGACCCTGAGCAGAAAGTACTGTTGATGTTATTATCACACTTCACAGTTGTGTAAACTGGAGATCAGAGATGTCACACAAAATGCGCAGTGTCACGCAGACCACTTCTGAGTCCAGGGCTAACTGGTGCCAAGGTTCTGTCTGCACTGTGTGTGTCCTTTGGCCTGTGCCCAGGGAGACCTGGGGCTCATCGCAGGGTCTAAACGACTGCGTGGGTGGACCCAGAGCCCGGACCCCCCAGAGCGCCGAGGGATGGGAGCCCAGGGTCACCAGCCTTCAGAATTCTTCCACAGAAGGCAGAAATCCAGATTTTTATGTGAATTCTCTGCTTTGGAAGAGTGGGCAACTAATTCACATTTTTTGAAAATCTTGACCTGGCAGACAAACAGGGCCAAGTCCAGCCGAAGACCTCTGACATGTGCAGCGTGGAGGACCTTGGCGTCACTCCCACAGCGACAACGGGTCTTCTCGCAGCACTTTACAGAGGCGTCTGCACCCAAGTGACAGCATTCGGCTCTCTGGGCAAACCTGAGAGCTGAGCCGTGTCACCTCTGGCAGGTGAGGAATGGGAGGTGCAGAGGGCAAAGGACACACGCAGGCAGTGGCATCTCGGGGACTCCGAGAGCAGCCCTCATGGCCTCGGCTGGGGCCTCAGGCCCGCAACGGCCTCCTCCTGTCTGGGTAAGTCCTGTGTGCCTGGCATCTCCCTGCGGAGATGGAAGGTGGCACCCAGCTGACCCTGGACACTGCATGGTCTTCTCCATGGCTGGTTCCCTGCAGGGACCTGTGCTGTTGGCCCAAGGAGAAGGTTTGGGGGTGCAGCCCTAATAATAATCATTCAACAACGTCAACAGCAGCAAAATAAATGGCTGACATCTCCGTACTTCCGTGGAGTTGGCTGGGTGCCAAGCACGTCCTAAACACTTTATGTACATTGACTAATGTAATGCTTACTTAATTGGGCTGTTAGAAGTGTTCTTACAATCACTTCCAAATTACACATGGAGAAACTGAGGCCCAGCCTGCTTCTCGCAGCCCTGAATGGTTTGTGAGGTGTTTGTCCTGGAATGCATGGGCTGAGATGGACTCTAGCCAGGCTGCCCCCCAGAGCCCTCTCTGCGCCCGCCACCTATGGTGTGACAGCTCCGGCCACAGGCCCTTCCCAGCCGGGCCGAAGGTGCGGCACACGCATCCGTCCCTGCCCTGCCCACACTACGCCCCTGTCCCAGCCCTGTGGGCAGGGAGGAAGGCCATGGAGCCAATGTCCCCAGCTGGGGGGTGGGGGGACAGGTCCTCACTAACTACTGGGCCCCGGGTGTGCCTGGGAACTCTGGGGAGTAGGACTGTAGCTCCCACAGCACTGGTTCCCAGCACCTGCCAGCAGCCCCAGGAGCCTCACGGTCCCCAGGAATGACAGCAATGGGGACGCGTGTGTTGTTCTAGTGGAAGGCTTGCTAAAGACAACCCACTTTTCAGACGAGAAAACCAAGGCTCGGCAGGTAAGGCCTCACCCGCAAGGTCCGGAGGAACTAGAGTTTGATCCCGTAGTGGGAAATGAGCGTGCCAACCTGCTCCCGGCACACGACACTTGTCACCCTGGCCACGCCCCTCCCCTCCCTGTCCCTTTGAATCCTCCCTCCTCCCCGAGGAAGGTACTTGCAGGAGCCCCGGTTTGCAGACCAGAACTGACCGCCTCTTACCACACTTTGCAGGAAACGGGGGTAGGGAAGGGACTTTACCACCAGGGTTTTTGGGCTCCAAGTTCAGTGCTCAGTCCCAGAAGCCTCTGGATGCCACACACATGAGGTCACCACCCAGAGGCTGACCAAGAGGTCAGTTCCTGTGCAGCCATACAGATGTCCTAGGGTCCCGAGCAGCATAAAGCTCTCATAACCTTGGGGACACACACTGCCAGCTTACAATAGATAGCTTGACACTTCAACTACTTCCATTTTATTTTACACTTTTTAGTTTTATGAATCTGGATTGATCAGTTTTTAATGTTAACTTTTTGTGTGAGTCCCTGTGGTTGAAGACAGCAACTGTCGACTGACAAAAAGCCAGCGTCAAAAGAGGATTCAAATTCACAAAAGCAGATAAGCATGAGAAATGGAAATAATTGCACCTTCAAAAATGTCATTTCTTTGAGTTTATAGCACCTGTACTTCCAGGGCTATTAAAGCTTATACATGCTCTGAGGCTGGGGCACCTGTATAGCTGCATTTATTGAGCACCTATGGTGGCCCTTTGCCTACTTGGCTTGGATGACCTCCGACACACACTCAAGCCCAAAGTGGGTTTTCTTATCCCCATTGCACAGAGGGAGAAACTGAGGTCAATTATATCTAAGACCATACCCACGAGTGCAAATCCTGCCCTCTGACACCTCTCAGAGGAAGGAGAGTCCACTCTGAGGAAAAGAGCACAACGGTGCCACCAGGAAAGTGACACGAGGCCATGGTGGGTGAGGATGAGGAGGCGCCCGGTCAAGCCAAGTGCTGCCCGCCTCAGCCCCGGAGCCTGCCCATTGCATCACCTCCCTCCAGGGCCTCCCCTCCCTGGAACCCCAAGAGCTCAGAGGCTCCTCAACTTGCTGGGGTCCCACCCCTCCCTCTCAGTGCCCCCAGAGACTTCTGTGAGAAGCCAAGTCCCTGGGACCCCTGGGGTGGGTCCTGTGGGTGGGCACCTGGGGGCTCTGCCCAAGCTGAACAGGAGGGATACCCAGTGGCCTCAGGGGCCAGGCAGCATGCCGAGGCTGGCCACCTCTCCCTTGCCTGCCGAGACAGCATCACGCCGGCAGGGGCGTGCTCCGGGCAGCAGAGCATTGCCCGGCGGAGGGTGCTAGGCACCTGGAGGTGGGCATGGCCAGGAGGGGTGGGGGAGGAATCTGGGGGCTGGGGGAGAACCAGGCTGGCCCGGGGAAGCAGGTGGACCTTCGCCCAGGACCCCTGCCGGTTCCAGGGCCCTACTGGCCACCTGGCTCGGGATGTGCCCCGTTTCCCACCCCTTGCCCTGCCCAGGTTACTCACCTGATGGGCAGGGGATCGAGGGAGACTGGCAAGCCTGGCCTGGCCGGGCACTAGGAGCACCAGGGGGTCACTGGGCGCGGGACACCCACTCCCCGCGGGGATCCAAGGGGCAGTGAGAGGCCGGGAAACCAGGGTATTTCTCTGGCTAGGAAGAGGCGGGCGGTAGGCGGTGCCAGAAAAATCACTTTCATAAGCGTGAGTCAGCACGGGCCCCTGGATGAATGAACTTGCACACTCGGAGCGGAGCGTGATCACACTGCTGGCTCAGGGCCGGCCTTAAAGGGCCCCCGCTGGGTGGTCTGTGCAGCGAGCTGGGTGGGGGTGGGGACTGGGAGTAGCGGGCTGGCCCCCTTCCCCGGGCTCAGGCAGTGAACCGGGGGGAACCAGGAAACCCTGAATGAGGCAACCTGGCCCTTTCCTAGTGAGGCAAAGAATACTGTGCCCAACACAGGAGGCGGCGGCCCCTTTAAGTGGAGAAAGACGCTCCTTGGTGTCTCCCCCTTCCCCCTACTTCCCAGTAAAAAGCCCTCTGGCGCCGACCTGCCCCGCTGGGAGCCCAGCTCGGCCACTTCCCCGGCAAGCCTCCTCGGTTTTCTCATCTGAGAACTGGGGCTAAGTACACTGCCTCCCTCCGGCTGTGCCCCCTGCTTGGGGTTGGGGGGCTGTCCAGGCAGGAAGCCTGCTCCCCGTCCCGGGTTCCGGTCTTCCCTTCTCGGTTCGTTTTCCCCTCGGCACACCTCGCATTTGCCGGTTCTTATTTTATTACTTTATCGCCTGTCTCCCCAAACCGGGATGTGTGCGCTGTATCTCTGTATCTATGTCTGCTTTATCCTGTGTCTAGAACAGCGCTCAGCACACAGTAGGCGCTCAAGAAGGGACAGAGCTGGATCGGTGTTTGGCCGTAGACTTCAGTGCGTGATAGCTGCTATTTTCATTATTCATGTGACTGTCACCCTCCCCATCCTCCCTGGCTTGGGGACATCTCTGCCCATCCTGCCCCATGGCTGGGGGTCCTGTGGACAGCAAGTGAGAGCAAAATTTAAGGAGGTGCTAACAACAGCGATCAAGAAAATATTATTTTAGTGCAGAATTTAAAAGGAAATCAAAATTAATGCAAAGATCCAGGATAAAATATTTACATTTCAGACAAAGACAGGATCCGCAGCAGCAGGGGCGAGCCCGAGCCTCATCGGGGCCGATGCAAAAAGGAAGACGAGAATACCGATGCCGCCTGTGCACTCTGCTGTTTCGTTCATCCTGGAGTTTTGGCATTACTTTTCTTTTAAAAATATTTCATAAACACACTGTGTCGATCACGGAGCACTCCTGTGCCTGTGCTGGTACCTCACCCGGTCACGGGCCTGGTGGCCCCAGGGGACAGGGCCCTGCCCAGCAGGTGAGCCAGAGCATGCACACAGGGCGGCAGGGGGGACAGGAGGGTGAGGCCAGGCCTGACTGCAGGGGCCTTTTGGGGATGGGGTGGGGGCGCCCTGGTGAAAGATGCCTCTGAGGATGCAGTGACCCCCTGGGACCTCTGGAGAGATGCAGGGAGAGGGGGAGAGGGATGCTGGCCCAGGGGGGAGGGGCGTTGGTGGCTGTGTGCCCTGAATGGGGGGCAGCATGACAGGCTGGGCTGCAAAGGGAGCCCCTGGGCTGAGGGCGGAGGTCAGGAGCCGTTGAGTCCCTGGCCAGGGTTTGCAGGGGATGAGCAGGGAGGGTGGCTGGCAATGGGCCAGGCCTGAGTGCAGCCCCTCCCTCTGCTTGTGCCCCCGACCCTGGGGATCACAGTGTGTATCCTGTGCCCAGAACCCCATTGTCAGAAGGGCCCTGTACTTGGTTTGATGCTCTGCTGTCACCACATTAAAATCCTAATTAATTTTTGAACAAGGGTACCCTTCTTTTCATGTTGCACTGAGCCCCACAAATCACATGACTGCTGTGGGCTGGTGGTGAGAGCTGGTTTCTGGGCTCAGCCCTACAGGCAAAGGGGGCTCAGGTGAGGCACTACCCACCCCTCCCTGGGGCATCACTTTACCCAAGGGAAAATGTCACCCACTGTCCTTTTCTCTGGGGTCTTTGGCACCAGTGACCCGTGCGGTCATAGCCTGTGGCAGAGGGGCAGAGGGGCAATGGGAAGCCCACTGCTCTGGGCCTCAGCTCCCCAGCTGGCTTCTATCCTGCTGCCAGGTGTGCTGTGTGACCCCAGCCAGTGGCCAACCTCTCCGTTCCAGCCATGGCCTTGGTACCAACACTCCATGAAACTCTGAATATACCCCCTCTCCCCCACCCCCCATGACCTGGCCAGGGGCTTTGGACCCACGGGAGCCCAGGGAGGGCTGGAACACGCAGACTCTGAAGGGCAGACCTACCTCCCGTGCAGGCTGCAGCCTTCCCCAGCAGCCGCCCCTCTGTGTCCACTTCCTCATCCCTGGGCTCCAGTCTGTAAGTTCCCGGTGTTTTCAGATGTGTAAACTGAGGCAGAGAGAAACACCCCAGGGTCAGAGATCCCCCTCTGAGTGTCTCGGCCCAGGCCTGAGTGGTGGAGGGACGAGGCTGAGGTTCAGGAAGGCAGTGGGCTCCCTGGACCCCCATCTCTGGGTGGGGCCCATCCACCTGCCCCTGCCCAGCCTGCTCTGTTACCCTCACTGTCTCTGACCCCTTTTCTAGCTTCTGAAGATTTGCTGATATGGAGCCTTGAGGGTGAGACCCGGACTTTCTTCCCTGCCACTGTTCACCTGCCAGGAGGTGACTGGAAATAGACTCTGCTGAGTTGAAGACAAAGACATCAGGGTCCAGGCAAAGGGGCGATGGATAGGGGGCCGTGGAGGGGGGAGGAGAAAGACGTGGCTTTGGGGGTTGCCTCCGGGTGGCCAGCGATCTTGGTCTCCACGAGGCAGATTTCCTCTCAGCCAGCTCTGTCCCCTGCCCCGCCGGGAGTTCCAGTGGCCATTAAGTACCCGAATTGGAAGCCTCTGAATCCAGAGGTGCTGGGAGTCAGCATACAAGGTGGAGCAAATAAAAAATACAGGCACCCTGGGAACTTTGAATTTCAGATAAACAAGAAATAAACTTTTAGCACAAGTATGTCTCATACAATACTTGGGATATATACTTTTACTCAAACCTTTTTCTGAATTGTTTATCTGAGATGGAGAATTATCCAGGCAGCCCTGTATTTTATTTGGCAAATCTAGTTGTATATGTAAAACACACTCCAGATTTTGAAAAGGTAGTACGAAAAAAAGGAAGATAAAATACCTCACGAATAATTTTTATATGAATTACATGTCGAAATGAAAATATTTTGGACATCTCGGGCTAAGTAAGATATTAAAATTAACTTCACCCATTTCTGTTTACTTGCTTCACGTGGCTATTGGATAATTTAAAGTCACACATGCAGCTCTTATCAGGCTTCTGTGGGACGCTGGCAAGCGTGGCCCATGCTCATGCAAACTGGGACATTCCCAGGTGTAGTGTGGAAAGGCCCCAGGAATCTGCTCCGTTCCAGGGAAACCGGGCAGTGGGTCACCGTGAAGCGCTGCAAGTGGCTGGGCAGCGTGACTTGGGAGAAGCACTCCTCTGAGCTTCAGTCTCCCCACCTGCACACGGGTACTGCCCACGTGGGGCTTGCAAGGAGGTGGCAGCTGATCAGTGCAGCTGGGGGAAGGGGCCTGACACTTGGCGGCTCAAACAAGCAGCCTGTGATGCTTGATGTGGCAGCCCTCTGCCCCCGAGGGTTTCCCCAAGCCCTCTGCAGGTGCTTGGGACCTGGGGAACCAGGCAAGAGACAGCCTCAGCGTGACTGCCTGGAGGTCCAGTATTGAAACAATTCCCCCACATCAAAACTACCGTTCCTCTGCCTACGAAATCCCAGGACCCTTCAGAGGGGCTACTCCTGGCCGCTCTTCCCCCCTTCTCCCCTGCGGGGGCTCCCACAGCTCTGCCACTTGCTGGGCACCTCCAGGAGCCAGGCGCTGTGGGATGTTCTTTACACGCATCTGAGACTCAGAGAGGCAGATCTTGAGCCTGAGGTCACACAGCATAAGTGACAGAGCTGAGGCTTTAACCCAGTGCTGTGGCCACAGAGTCTGGGCACTTCCAGGACAAAGACAAAAACCAAAACCTCTTTCCTGTCTCAGGTGCAGAGGCTTTGACCTGGCACCACTCCTGTCACCACAGCCAACCCCTTACAAGGTGCCCACACCGTGGGTCCTTGCACGGGATCCGGAGCCGGCCCTGTGAGGAAGGCCCAGGGCCATTATCCTCCCATTCTGCGGGTGGACACTGAGGCTCTGAGACTGTAAGACGTAGCCCACGTTACAGTAAGTGGCTGACCGGGGACTGTGAGCAGGTTCTGCCTGCTGCCCTGGCACGGGGAGACCAGGCCCTTCCGGCGTGTGACATGGGAACCAATATTTGCCCTGATCCTCCGCTGTTTACAGAGCCTTGTCATCCGCCTTATCTCATCCATTCTCCTGACAACCAGAGAGGTGGGCAAATATTTTCAATAACAAGTTTAGTTTACAGATGAAGAAACCCAGAGGGACTTGCCCAAGGTCACTGTTGGCAGTAAAGCAGGAGGGGGGATTCAGACTTCAGTCTGCCTGGTGGCAGAGCCCACATGTCGCCCCAGGACAGCCATGGCAGCTGCCAGGGCCGGGCCCAGAGGAGAGAGCAGTGCGCAGCCTGGGCAGTCGCCACGGACTCCCTGGGGGTTGGGGGGTGTCAAAGCTGGGAAGGCTGTGGAGAGAACCGGAGCTCAGGAGCCTGGGGAGTGGGGTAAGCCCCAGGAGGAGGGCCCGCACAGGGGTGGACCCCAGCCCTGTCCTGCACAAACCTCCACATCACCTTACTCATGTATGGTGCCCTGGCCTCCCCAGCACGGCTCTGTGACGCTGACTGACTTCCAAACTCCAGGAAGGACTTTATTCTGTCACTCTCCATTGCCACACTCTGAGCCTGGAGTTCCAGTCCTAAGGGAAAACCCCCACACGAGAAATGGGCCACGGTCACCACCCGGGCACTGGTATTAGCAACCACTGCTGTCAGCGGCTTCCGCGCCCAGCGACCGAGGACAGCTGAGTGAGCCGCGGCGAACGCTCAGAGAGGAACATCGGGCAGCCTTTGGAAATGGCAGTTACAGGGCCCGGAGGGAATGTGGGAGCTCCTTATGAGCACCCCGCGGGAGAAGCTGGCCATGAAGCTGTCGATGCCATGCCCGGTGTGTGGGCCTGTGGGCAGGAACTGGAGCAAAAAATATGTAAATAACAAAGCTAGACTGATTGTAGGGCCAATAAATTTTAGACAGATGTTTCAATTCTAACTTCCATTACCTTTATATAATAAACAGTAGTCATCATCGTAAGTCAAAGCAATTTGAGACAAGGACTACTCTGTGTTTTGTTTTGATCTTTGATGTGTCGTGAATGCCTCGCACATTGGCACATGGAGGCAGCTCAGTGACTGTTCATGGAATGAGTGAACCTCACCGCTTTTTGGCTTTTCTGATAGACTCTTAAAACTTTTGGCTCACGGATGGCCTCTCTCGGCTTTAGATCATATGTGTATGGATTGGCATGCCTTCCATATGTTTAAATCTTTGATGACAATTTTGAATTGGCCAAGACAGAACAGGGTCCTGTCTGTGGAGTCAGAGACTCTGGGTTGTGTCTCCGCTCTGGAACTTACTAGCTGTTATGTCCTTGGGCAAGGTAGTGCACATCTCTGAGCCTCAGTCTCCTCAACTATAAAACAGGGATGATAATATGGCCCCCAGGGTAGCTTGCTGCCTGGCACGTTGTGGGTCCTCAGTAAACAGTGGATCCCCCTCACCTCTGTCTACTGCCACCCGGACATTGTCACTCTGGGCAGAGTGGCCCTGGACCGGCCGGCCTTCCAACCACCCAGATCACATCTCCCCCAGACAGACGTCCCAAAAGGCAGTGGTTCGCAAAGTGCGGTCCCTAGACCAGCAGCTTGAGCAGCACCTGGGAACTTACTAGAAATATAGATTCTCAGGACCCACCCTAGACCCACTAGATCAGAAACTCCTGGCGTGAACCCAGTGATCTGCATGCCCACAAGGCTTTCAGGTATTCCCTCAAGTTTAGGACCAATGCTGTAGAAAAGGATGAGACACTCCATCAAAGGCCTGTTGAGCCCTGTGGGTGAGGCAGTTGGTCACCTGGCTTGAAAGCTCTTGGTGAATCCACGCTAGGCCCTTGGGGTGACCGCTTCTTTCTCCCTATAAGCTCTCAATCCTAAGCACTGCCGACCCTTGAACAACATGGGCTTGAACTGCATGAGTCCACGTACATGCAGATTTTTTTCAATATATTTGAAAAGATTTTGGAGATTTGCGATAATTTGAAAAAGCATTTTCTTTTCTCTAGCTTACTTACTTTAAGAATGTGGTATATAACACAGAAAACAAAATTTGTGTCAATCGACTGTTCATGTTATCAGTAAGGGTCCTGGGTCAATAACAGGCTACTAGTAGTTTAAGTTTTGGGGGGGTCAGAGTTACATGGGGATTTCCCACGGTGTGGAGGTTGGCACCTCAAACGCCGGCATTGACTGAGGGTCAGCTGTGAACCGGGGCTGGGGCTTCAGCACGTGCCTTGTGTGGCCCTCAGAAGACCCCACCCACCTGCTTGTCCTGCCCTCGTGGGTCCTGCTGGTGTCCTGTGAGCCCACCAAAGGCGTGTCTGGGGCCCCTCAGGACACCGAGAGGTGGTTTGCAGTGTGAGGAGGCCTGTAGGCTCTGGGCGGCTGGGGGATGTCTGGCCAGCCTCTCCCCACACTTCCAGGCCCTCCTAGCAGACGTGTGACCCAGTTTCCGGTTTAGTCTGAGTGCGTTGCCCTGGACAGAGAGGTCAGAGGCCGCCAAGCTGTTTTCTCTCTGGCACCCATGGCTGTTGCCCCTTGGCCCCGGGGAGCAGGGGCATCATTTTGTTCCTTTTGCCCCACATGCAGCTAAAAAAAGCTGTTTGCCGCTGTTTTGGGGTTTATAGCCCCCTCCCGCCGCCTTGCCTTCTGGGAGAGGTGAGGTCAGGGCCTCCGTGATCTAATTTAGTGGCATGTGAGCTCGTCCTGTCCCCAGCCCCAGGATGGGAGAGCAGCCTGGGGGCTCGCGCACGTTCCTCTGTAGAAGAGCGCTGTGCCCAGCGTCCGGGCCCTGCCGTCTGGAGAAGAGGGCTTGGCACTTCCAGGCCAGCGGGCGCAGCAGGGGTCCATGCTCAGAGCCCCACCTGTCTCCAGAGCCCCTTCTAAACTTATGAAGCGCAAACTGGAGCCTGCACCCCCATGCGGGACCACCCCAGGGCACTCCCTACTGCCCTCAGGCCCTCCCCGCCTGCCTGCCCTGCCCTCTGGCTTCCCTCGGCTCTGGGCAGGCCCCTCTAGCTCTGTCTCCAGTTCTCTGCCGCTCACACGAAGCGGGAACCGGAAGCTGCCTTTCCTGACCCACTGCTGTGTGGGGCTTACCAAGTGCTTGACAGACATGCCCTCAGTTAACCGAAGGGGCCCTGGCCCTGTGAACCAGGCCAGACAACTAACAAGGGCTTCCCACCCCAGGGTCTGGAGTTAGAAGGGAGAATAAGAGGGGGCTTTGGAGGGAATTAGGGGGTTGGGGCAGGGGATGTCCCAGGAAGCCCCTCTGGAGAGGTGGAACTTCAGCTGAGGCGGGCACGGTCACTGGGAGAGCTGGGGTTGGGGACATGCGGCGGGCAGGGCAGAGGGTCGCAGAAGCCCCGGGGTAGGAGCTAGGTGGCTGTGTGAGGACCTGGAGGAAGGCGGGGAGGGGTGTGGAGAAGCCACGTAGAGCCCTGGAAGGCCGAGACAACCTGGGATGTAACTTGGGCTGCAGCCGAGGCCCTGTAGGTGCCGAGCGGGTGGGCAGGCCTGAGCAGAGTGGGAGCAGGGGAGTGGCAGCCGTGGTGCCGTCTTGCAGGGCGCTGGCAGTGTGGCAGAGAATGGGTGGGCTCCTGATCCAGTGTCAGCAGGACTGGGAGATGGCCTAAAACTGGAGGAAGAGCAGGGGAGTCCTGCTACCTGTGAAACTGTCCCCCAAAGAGAAGAGGCCCAAAGTGTGGCCTCTGCCAGTTCCTATGGTGTGACTATTCCTGCCACACCTGGTCTCAAGTTACCAACACGACCAACAGGGTTGGGATGAGGTGTATACAGCTGCTGTCCCTGACGCGGGCCCCTGCAGCCACCATGGGGGGTAGGCAAGGCGTCAGGGGTGCCAGCAGATTCCTGATGTGAGCCATGGGACGGACGGTGACAGGGCACTTGCTGGGCAGACAAGATGGAGAAGGAAAGAGATGGGGAACCAAGCATTGTCCTCCTGTGACCTCTCCGGCTGGGCTCAGAAGGTTAGGGTGTGGGGCTGAGAGGCTGGCAAGATGTGGAAAGCCTGGGGATCAGAGGAGGTCACTGAGAGAAAGGGAGAGAGAGAGGGAGAAGGAGAGAAGAGAGCAGGGGAGAGGCCTGGACGGCGCCCAGAGAAACGGCAGGAGCGAGCAGCCTGCTCAGGTGCCCCTCACCCCAGCACAGCTCGGAGGATGCTTCTCACGGGGCTGGTGACTTCCCCCTTTTGGTGGTGATCCTGGAGCCCCCTGTACCTCAGGCAGACCCCATGAGGATCTTGCAAAGCAGCTTAGGGGCCCCCCGGCTTGGGGCCAGGTAGTGCACAGCCCAGGGGAGGAGAGCCAGAGAACATGGGAGGCTGGGACAAAATGCAGATAATACAAGCTCCAACTCAGCGCGCCCTAACCGGGTGCCGGGCCAGGACTCGGCACATGGGGTAAAGCGAACCGTCGCATCACCCCCGCGAGGCAGGCATGTTATCAGCCACAATTACAGATGAGCCAATCAGGGGTCACCCTCCCTGCAACCCATTCTCCTGACTTTGCCTGATTCCACAACACAGAGCCTTCTTCATGGTTTTGGTTTCTGAGAAAAAGAGACCTACCTGGTCTCCTTAGACCCTATTCTAGTTGAGACCAAACTGAACCAGCGCTGGCTTCTGCCGAGTCGCCATCACTGCCTTCAGCAGCGGGATCGGCAGTGTCACCAGGCAGTGGGGTAACAGGGTTTCTCCTTATCTGTGTGTCCAAGGTTTCTGCCGTGATCAGACACTGCTTGCACCTTTGGGGAGAGGGGCGGCCCAGGGGAGCTGGGGCACTGTGGCGAGCGCAGGGGTGTGGAGGTGCTGGGACGAGGGGATGCCTGTCGGAAGAGGCGAGAGCCCTACTTTGCTCCGGGGGCTGCAGCCAGCAGGACGCGACAGGCCCTGGGCTCCTTGCTCTGACTTCTCTCCAGCATGCCGGGCAGCCTGCCCTCTGCAGCTCTGGGCTTCAGCCAGGGGCACAGTCAAGTCTGGACAGGGCCCTGGAGGCTCTGCGTGTCTGGTGCACGGCTGGAGGTGGAGCTGCAGCCTGGCTGTCTGGGCTTGGCTTGGCGAGAGCTGCTGAGCTGTCTGTGGCATGAGCAGGGGGCCCTGGCCATCCTCACCTTGGGACAATTCCTGCCCTCCGGGTGATGATGCTCGAATGGTGGGATCCCAGGCATCGGGGCTGAAATATCACCAGGCTGGACCTGGACCCACTACCCCCAGGAGTCTGCAAGGGTGCTCTTGTCCACCTTTGGCCATCAAGGGCTCTGGACAAGACTCCATGCTGCCATGGCCTCCCCATCCCCCAGGACCTCCACCTCCATCTCCCACTGATGGGGACGGGGGCAGTGCGGTCGCCCCGGTGGGGGCGGGGGTCACATCACCCTCTGATGGCCGTCTTCCTCACCCTGAGATCACTGTGGCCCGCTAAAAGCCGAGATGCCCCCTTTCCCAGGTGGAGCAGCTCGGGTCCAGTGAGGGGACACGGCTCACCCAGGGTCACGCAGCAGGACTGTGCCTGGGGGTGCAGCTGGGACTGAAGGGCTGTGAGCTCGGGGGAGCGGCTCAGCCCCCCAACCCTCACTCCCTCCAGTGACTCAGTCAGCGGGACTCTGTGTACGGGGCACTGGGCTGGGAGGTGGGCATCTGATGGTGGAGAAAAGACACAGGTCTCACCCCCAAGGCGGCGGTGACCCAGTGGGGAGGGGAGCAGACAGTGAGTAAAGGAGGGGATGATCACGGCCCAGCCAGGGCGGCCAAGGTTGGAGCAGCAGCCCTGAGGGAGAAAACTGGGGTGAACAGAAGGGTGGGCTAGGCTGGGAAAGGCCTACCAGGTGAGGCTGACAGCCAGTGCAGAGGTGCTGGGGGTACAAGGGGCTTCTGAGAACCTGCAAGGGGCATGTGCCCGAGGGAGGGTGCCAGCTGGGGCTGGGCGGCCTCGGGAGGAGTCATGCTTTCTCCCAAGAGCA